CATCATCATCATCATCATCATCATCATCGTCAGCAACATGATGATCATCATCATCATCATCATCATCATCATCATCATCATCATCATCATCATCATCATAATCGTCATCATCAGCATCCTCATCATCAGCAGCAGCATCATCAGCAGCATCAACATCATCCTCATCATCATCATCATCATCATCATCATCCCACTCCTCTTCCACCACCTCCTCCTCCTCCACCCCTCATCCTCCTCCTCTTTCTCCTCATAATCCTCACCATCACCATCACCATCATCATCAGCAGCAGCATCACCATCATCATCAACATCATCAACATCATCATCGTCATCATCGTCATCATCAGCATCAAAATCCCGCGTTACCATCAACATCATCATCATAATCAGCACCATCGTCGTCACCAGCATCATGCCATCATCAGGATTATCATCCTCGGCAGCAGCAGCTGCAGTACTGACATCATCATCAGCAGCATCATCAGCAGCATCAACAACATCAGCATCATCAGCAGCCGCATCATCATAGGCACCAGCATCAGCACCATCATCATCAACATCAGAACCATGACCATCACCATCATCCGCAACAGCAGCATCAGCATCGGCAAACGCATCATCAGCATTATCGCCGTCATTATCAGCATCATCAGCATCGTCAGCATCATCCACATCGTCAGCATCGTCATCATCATCAGCACCCTCACCAACACCATCATCGGCATCTTCATTAGCATCAACATCCTTATCCGCATCCTCATCCCCATTCTCACTATCATCAACATCAGTATCATCATCCGTCTCCTCCTCATTATCGACATCTGCATATGCTTCATCAGCAATATCGTCAACATCACCACCACGACCAGCATGGTCAGCCGCATCATCATCGTCGGCATCATCACAAGAATCCGTATCATCATCGTCATCAGCGCCATCATCAGAACCACCGTCATCATCAACAACATCACCATCGTCATCGTCATCCTCCTAATCAGCAGCATCATCATTATCATCAGCCTCATAATAGGCATCATCAGCAGCATCAGCATCATCCTAAGCATCATCATCAGCATCTTCATCCTCGTCATCATCGTCATCAGCACCCCTCATTACCATCATCATCATCCGCATCACCATCATCAGTTGCATCGTCATCATCATCAGGCCATCATCAGCATCATCAGCATCATCCTCAAAAGCAGCAGCAGCACTGGCATCACCAGCATCCTCATCATCACCATCATCAGCAGCATCATCATTAGCAGCATCATCAGCATGATCATCATCAGCATCAGCGTCATCGTCGGCGCGATCATCGCCTATCACTGCCCAATACAATCCTCACAAACCCTACCCTCATCAATACCAACCATGACGGTCGTCATGATCGTGGTCATCAGTATCATCCTCAGCATTAGCATCATCACCACTACTATCTTGATCGCCATGACCATAGTCATCCTGATCTCCGTCATCATCAGCATGATCGTCGTCGTTCTCAACATCATCAGCATTATCACATGCATCTCCACATCATCATCAGCATCATCATCATCAGCAGCAGCAGCACTATAAACAGCATCATCAGTATCAGCGTCGTCACCGCCACCACCTTCCCTCCCTCCCTCCCTCCCTCCCTCCCTCCCTGTCCTTCTATCAGCCAGTCGAGTCTGCGAAGCATGATCCCTGCGTCGTCATCGTCATTGTCCTTATTACTATCCCGCTTCTCATTCTCTTCATTCGCGGTTGATTGACAACAAGGCCGTTGCGTCTGAGAAACGAGCATAAAGAAGTGCGCTCGCAGATCATGCCCGACAGGAGCAGCAAGAATGCAGAGAGGAGAAGACCATCAGGTTGAAGATATGGGCTCAAATAGGTACGTACACAGTGGAATATGGAAGCGAGAGAATATGTGGAAGAAGATTGACGGAGTGCATCAGGCACAATACGCAGTTGTAGGCAAGCACGACAAGCAGATCTCGACCACCGCCACACCGATATCATGATCGAAGCATGTCGATATCCAGGGTGCGACATAACATGCGTAGCGGGAACGTATATGATGTGTGTTACCAGGTAGGCGGTGCGCAACGAAGTTCAGCAAACATGCCGCTATGCCACTGCCACGGATGCCGCTGTGCAATCGAGCACCCGATAAACAAACGAACTTTCTGCGAACGAGGAAAATAGCAACGCTCCAGCGAGCCTGGACAAGAGCAGTCCGATAGAAAGGAATCAACAGCACGTGCGCAACAGACTGAGTCACACCAAAAGAAGGGAGGAGAGAGGAGGAAAAGGCGATACAAGAAAGAAGAGCAGCAGCAGCAGCAGCAGCAGCAGCAGCAGCAGCAGCAGGGTGGAGGAGGAGGGAAGAGGGGGAGGAGAAGGAAGAGGAGGAAGAGAAGAGAAGGAGCGAGGAGGTGGAGGAGGAGGGGGAGGAGGAGAAGGAAGAGCAGAGAAGGAGAAGCGAGGAGGTGGAGGAGGGGGAGGAGGAGGAGGGTCCCTCCCCTCATCCCCCCCCAAAACCTCCCACGCCTCGATCTGCTTCGAACCCGCCCCCCCCCCCTGGAGCCCTCGGAACCCTCCCCCAGGGCCAGCTCCCCGTCCCGGGCTGCTCCTGGCGGCCACGGTGCGGGATACGGACCCCCCCCCCGACGCCGAAGGCGACCAACAGGATCCTCCTCGAGCCGACGCGCGGCGGCTCGAGGCGGAGTCCTACGACTCGATCTCCTACGACTTGCATGCCCGAAGACGCCCAGACATCCTACGAGTCGATCCCCATACGACCTGGATGCCCGAAGACGCCCAGGCCTCCTACGACTCGATCTCCTCGAGCCACCGCGTGACGTGGGCCCTCCCCCCCCCCCGCCTCGCTGGAGGCCTCCTCCGGAGGCCTCTGCGCAGGTCCTGCGAGGTCGGGCTGGCTGTCGCATCCGCGGAGGCACAGGGAGGCCCAGAGCGGACCGAGGCGCACCAAGACGAGGCCGAACCCACGGCACGGGGACTTCCGGGGCCCACGGCAGGAGGCCCAGGCCGGAAGGGCCAGAGCAGCACCTCCTTCGAGCGCCCGCCGCGCCCGACTAAGACACTCGCTCAGTGCTGGCTGCAGCCGTGGCCCAGACACGGGCGAGGAGCCCGCGCCGCTCTGGGCCGGGGCCCGCCCACGGCCCCCAGCGAGAGGGGATTGGCCCCCAGAGGGGGAGGGGGAGGAGGAGGAGGAGGAGGAGGAGGAGGAGGAGGAGGAGGAAAAGGAAGGAGGAGGAGGAAAAGGAAGGAGGAGGAGGAAAAGGAAGGAGAAGGAGGAGGAGGAGGAGGAGGAGGAGGAGGCGGAGGAGGCGGAGGAGGGTGGCAGAAGTTCAAGAACTGCCAGGCGACTGCACGTAGGAGTCAGGCGCCAGAGGGGGGCCCAACGCAATCGCGCAAGCCGGCGTTGCCGCGCCGCATCAACGATCGGCAGGACGCCACTCGAATGATTTGTTGCGCCAGCGGGCAATCGCGGAATTCCGCCGATTGAAGTCGAGCGCCCCGAATGGCACTTCGAAGGCGCTGCGAAAGCAGACGCTGCCGGGGGCCACCGCGACGAGGTCTGACATTGCCGGGCTGCATCGCGATGACGTCTGACCAGGCCCGGCGTGAAGGCCAAAACCGGCCCCATCCGAGAGCCTGGAATATGCTTGAATATCTTTGGAAAACTTATGATAGTAAAGATCCCCATTGGTTCGAAAAAAACAGATTCAATGATATTCAAAGATATTCAAAGATATCCCAAAATCTCCAAAGATATTCTAGCCAGTCGTTTCGGGATTTGGACTGGCATTCGGGACTGGTCCTGGGCCGGAAAACGCGCCGTCTTGTCGACCCGCCCCCCCTCGGGTAACAAATGCAAGCTGTTGGGTGCGACGCGTATGCGTTGCTGTCGGATTACAGGGGGGGGGGCCCAAACCTGGCGCGATGAGATTGCGAGCGTAATCGCGCGAGGCGGGTGCCGACGCGAGGTCAAGCTCTTCGCACAAGAAACATCACCCAACACCCTTTGGGCCAGCACCAATGGTCACTCTGGCGAAGGGTCACTCTTACGTGTAGGGCGCGCGCCCACGGCAAGAGACACAGGCCACCGGGCAGGTCTGAGGCGCGCGGCTCTCGCAAACAGCACACATGCTCAAGGATCATGGGAGGAGAGGGGGAAAGGAATGGATAACAAAACCTCGAGTGATATTTATCACACTCGAGTTGTCCATCACACTAGAGTATTTCATCATACCAGAGTGTTGCATCACACCGAAGCTTGTTATCACACTAGATATTTTCTCGCAGGAGAAAAAGAGAGCGAGAGAGAGGCTCGCCCAACCCAACTCCTGCGGAGGTGTACCGCCGGGAACTTTTGCATAGCGTGTCGCGGCGGCGGCCCCAGCGACACGCTATGTCCTGCGAGCGGATAGCGCGCCGCTCCGCCCCGCGGGGTGGGAGACTGGGAAAAGCTCCAGGCATTGCCCCATTGGAGGGTCCGTAAGTGAATAGCGTCTCGGGCCGAAGCATGGCTGGCGGACCGCAAGGGAGGGCGCCACGATCCCCTCCACCCCTCTCCTTATCCTCCTCGGCCTCCTCGTGCGACTGCTCCCGGAGCGAGGCGAGGCGGGCCTGGGCAGCGACGTACGGGATCACATCCTTCGGCTTGTGCTGCGCAATGGCGGCGACGGCCACGGTGACCGCGGGGTTGAAGTGCGCGCCTGTGACGGTGACGAGGAAAAGAGGAGGAGTTTGATGGGAGGGGCGAGGACGCCTGTTACGAGGACGAGGAGGAGGACGAGAACGAGGATGAGGAGAAGAGGAGGCGCGCCCGTGACGAAGACGAGGAGAAGAGGACACCTGTGACCGCGGGGAGGGGGAGGGAGGAGGACGAGGAGAAGAGGACCCTGGCCCTGACCTTCGCTCCACGGCGTCCACAGTTAGGTGAGAGCGGAGCTTCGGTGGCCAGCGACCGCCCTCTAACTGAAGCGTTGAGGACGCCGCCTTGGCGCCAACTGTCCCCGCCCCCGCAAACCCTGGCCCTCAGGCAGCATCACACCTGGGAGTGAACATCAAAGCTGAGACGTGGCCCAGGTGCCCCCACCCGAGGGATGACATAGACTCCTAGATGTTCACCTCCGTGATATTACACTGGCTATTAGGGGTCGAGTGATCAGGGCACTGCCTGGGCTCCTCCAAGATGATTGGCCCTACTTGATTGCTGCGCTGGGTTCGTGGCCCTGTCCCTTTCCACAATTCTTTCAGCTGGAGCTGACCATGGGCGCATTCGCCCGTTAACTCTCGATGCTCCCCCGTCACCAACCCGACCCCCTTTCCTGGAAACAGAGAAGCCTCCTGGACGCCAGCCTGCAGGCCTGGACAGTCGTAATGAACCAAGGCCAGTGGCAGGATCATCTAGGAGAGGCCACGAACAGATATACACTGACACCCTCCGACGAACTCTGCATGTGCCTTCAAGGAGGGCGGCGGTGTGTAAAGTCGCTGGCTCCCAGTGGTGATTTATACACCGCCACCAGGCTCAGGAGCCATCCATTGGAGGGTGTCGTGTATCAGAAGTTGGGGGGTGAGATCGCAGTGGAACTGAGACCCTCAACCAGGGACATCGTTTCGTTTCCTTCGTGTCGTGCGTGCGAGCGAGGCGAAGCTGAGTGGGCACGCGAGAGGAATGAACCAGCCGCTGCTAGGGCGAAGCCAAAGCAAATGATTCTCCACCGTCCGTCCGTCCAGCGGTGGCTCGCGGTGTCCCGACGTGTCCTGTGGTGTCACGTGGTGTCCCGTGGTGTCCGCCGTTGCTAGGGCGAAGTCGAGACAAATGATTATCCCCCGTCCGTCCGTCCGGCGGTGGCTCGCGGTGTCCCGCGGTGTCCCGTGGTGTCCGCCGTTGCTGGGGCGAAGTCAAAACAAACGATTCTCCCCCGCCCCCCCGTCCGTCCGTCCGTCTGGCGGTGGCTCGCGGTGTCCCGCGGTGTCCCGTGGGGTCCCGTGGTGTCCCGTGGTGTCCCGTGGTGTCCCGTTGAGTGAGATCGATAGTGAGATCGATAGTGAGATCGATGGTGACATAGATAGTGAGTTCGATAGTGATGTCGATACTGAGATCGATGTGGTGCCCCGAGGTGTCCCGTGGTGTCCCGTGGTGTCCCAAAAAGTGAGATCGATAGCGAGATCGACAATGAGATCGACAGGTGTCCCGTGGTGTCCCGTGGTCTCCCGTTGAGTGAGATCGATAGTGAGATCGATAGTGATATCGATAGTGAGTTCGATAGTGAGGTCGATACTGAGATCGATGTGGTGCCCCGAGGTGCCCCGTGGTGGTGTCCCAAACAGTGAGATCGATAGTGAGACCGATAGTGAGATCGACAGGTGTCCCGTGGTGTCCCGTGGTCTCCCGTTCAGTGAGATCGATAGTGAGATCGATGTGGTGCCCAGAGGTGTCCCGTGGTGTCCCGCGGTGTCCCAAAAAGTGAGATCGATAGCGAGATCGGAGAGAGCGTGATCCACCGCCGCTTTACTGTGGAAAATTGCCGCCTTTTCCTCCCGGACCCGGGGGTCCCCCCCCCCCTCCGAAAATCCCCCCCCCCTGCTGGAACCCCTCCCCCCCCCTCCCCCCTTCCCCCGGCAACCCCCCCCCCCTCCCCTAACCCCCTGCCCCCCCCTCGAGCTCGAAAACCGGGGGGGGTCACTACCAGTTCGAACCCCCCCCCCTCGTCACTACCGGTTCGAACCACTGAGCTGTCCCTGTTCCCACCACTGTCCCCACCACTGTCCCCACTGTACCTCTGTCCCATTGTCCCACCGCCGTCCTCGCCACCGCCTTCACCACTGTCCCCACCACCACTGTACCCTCCACTGTCCTTGTTTCCACCACATTCCCAGTCCCCACCACTGTCCCCACCACCACCGTCCCCACCACTGTCCCCACTGTCCCCACTGTTCCCACCATTGTCCTCACCATTGTCCCCACCACTACCGTCCCCACCACTGTCCCACTGTCCCCACCACTGTCCCGCTGTCCCCTCACCACTGTCCCCACCACCACCGTCCCCACCACTGTCCGCACCCCCCCTCGGTTTTCGAGGGGGGGGGGGGGGGGTTCGAACCGGTAGTGACCCCCCCCGGTTTTCGAGCTCGAGGTAACCGGTAGTGACCCCCCCCCTTTTCATGATGAACTGGGGGGGGGGGGAGGGGTTCGAACCGGTAGTGACCCCCCCCGGTTTTCAGGAGGGGGGGGGGGAGGGGTTCGAACCGGTAGTGACCCCCCCCGGTTTTCCGCCAGCAGCGGTAGAACACGCTCTCTCCGAGATCGACAGTGAGATCGACAGGTGTCCCGTGGTGTCCAGTGGTGTCCCGTTGAGTGAGATCGATAGTGAGATGCGAGATCGATTGTAAAATCGATGTGGTGTCCCGAAGTGTCCCGTGGCGTCCCGTTGTGTCCTATGATGTCCCGTTGACTGAAATCGGTAGTGAGATCGATAGTGAGACCGATAATGAGATCGAGAGGTGTCCCGCGGTGTTCCGTGGTGTCCCGTGGTGTCCCGTGGTGTCCCGAGGTGTCCTGTTGAGTGAGATCCATAGTGAGATCGAGAGTGAGATCGACAAGTGTCCCGTGGTGTCCCGTGGAGTGAGATAGATCGTGAGATCGATTGAGTCAGATGTTGGGCCCCCCCCTCTCCCCCCCCACACAACCTTCTTATCACCCGAAGGGTGGTCGTATAGGTACATATATATATGTATATATATATATGTGGCGGATAGGAGACGCCAACCAGGCTTCGCCGCTGACACTGGCTGCCAGCGACCGCTCGGACCTCAAACGCGAGGTTAATGAGCAAGGCGGTTGAACTGTGCTACTACTCACAGAACGCAGGAACTGTTTGCCCTAGCATCGACGGGCGGGATACCGCCTTCACGACAAACTCGGGGCGAAAAGCACGAGGCTCATATGTGCTCTCGCCCTAGAGAGGAAGGGAAACGCTGGCGACATGTCCTCCAACTCTCATGCATAGTCCTCCAACCCGAACCCGTCCAAAAGCGGCTGCGCCACTCTGCCACCACGCAACACGCGACCCAAGAGGGAGCACACACGAGCTGAAGAGGAGAGAAAGCCAAAATGGATGCCTGGCTAACGCCCGCCTGGCGGTGGTCCCCTGGGCGCGAATTAAGGGAGGCACTTCGTGGGGGTAAGGAAGGTGCCCTTCTCGGGCCCTAAAGGCCCCCACAGGGGCTCGAAGGGCCCACTTAGGGGCCCCGAAGGGCACTTTTTGGGCAGCCCTCGCTGCCCCCCCCACCCCCCCATGCATCGCCCCCCGCTAACGCATCCTCCGAGTCCCGGCATCATGTCAACGTCCAGTGTGGAGACTGGCCGGCCACGGGATGCCACGCCTCGGAACGCCCGCCACTGCGCGCCACGCGCGCGGCGAGGGGCAGGACGGAGAGGTCCTTGGCGCCGCGACTAGGGGCCGAGAGGCTGCAGCAGCCTGTGGGAGCCGGCGAGACGGGGATCGCTTTGGAGCACTTTGGAAAGCACAGCGTGCAGGGAAGGAGGGAGGAAGTGACGGTGGTGGTGGGCACAGGCGTGCCCGCAGCTGCGTACGCCGAGAGTCAAACGGCGACGCACCCCTGCGTCGAGGCAGAGGGCGCCCTCATCTTATGAAGGGGCCACCGAAAATTAAAAGTTGAACCATACATTGGGCTGAGCAATCCACGGGGCCCTCCTGAGGTGCCTCCTCCGGATCGCTTCGTCTCGCTAGGAAGGGACGGGGGGAGGGAGGATGGAGAAGAGAGAGGGGCGGCGGAGACCCTGACCCCGTGCGGCGGCGCCCGAAAACGCAGCCACCCCCTGGCCGATACATGCTGGCCCCCGGCGGGAGCTGGCGAGGCGGGGAGAAAGGTCACAAAGAGAGGGAGAAAGAGAAGGACGGCCTCAGGTCTGAGAGTCTCGGAGCCCAAACACACGCCGAGCCCCTTTTCCGTCCTCCTCCTCCACCTCTTCCTCCTCCTCCTCCTCCTCCTCCTCATCTTCTTCTTTCGGTCCCACGCGACGCCCTTGACGCCACGTGGTGGCCCCGTCTCTGCACCGGGCGTTGCCCGCGTGCTCCTACAGCGCAGCGCCCACGCCTGGGTCTGGCCAGGGCTGCGCAGCGTCAAGGGACGGGCCCTTCTTCCGACTGCGCCCGAGGGGCCGCAATTCGGGCTGCTGACCCCGTCAGCGCCTGCGCGCTAGGTGTCCACTCGACTGCATCGGGGGGGGGGGCGTTCAGGGCGCGGGCTGACCGCGACCTCTGCAGACACGATCTCCCCTCTCTGCTCTCGGACGCGCTGTGTGCTCCAGCGCACCGCCATGTACAGCGCCGTGGAGAGGCCGACTGCGCGGATGAGCGCCTCGCTGAAGCTGCGGCGGCCCGAGTGAAAGCTGCCACGGTCGAGGCAGTGGCCCCAGTCGGCCCGAATTCTCAGCCTCCCCTGCTGCTGAGGGGCCGCCAGGTGCCAGGTGAGCCGACCAGAGCTCAGCTTCCCCGGCTGTCATCGCGTGAGGGAGGGAAGGAGCGGAGGTCCGCCGCGGGGGGAGGCGGAGGCGGAGGCGGCAGCCAGCCCAGGGGCCCGCCGGCCCGATGGGGGCCCCTGCTCCCTCGCTGCCGAACCAAAACGGCTGCGGGCTTGAGCCAAAATGGCTCCTCCTCCTCCTCCTCTTCCTCCTCCTCCTCCTCCTCTTCCTCCTCCTCCTTCTCCTCATTGTCCCTCCTCCTGAATCTCCGTCCTCCTGAATATCCCTCCTCCTTAATCTCCCTCCTCCTTAATCTTCCCACTCCTCCTCCTCCTCCTCCGCGCCCGAGACGTCGCCGAGGGCGTAGATCATGGACATCAGGGCCGCGGCGATCGAGAACGCCCCGGCCGTCGACTGCCCGAGCACGTTCAGCCCGACCGTCAGCACGAGCACAAAGCTGCCGAGGAACTCCGCGACCAGCTGTGGGGCCTGCCGCTGCCGCGGGTGGAGCAACGCTCGGGGACACTCGCCAGGATGGAGCAACGCTCGTGGACATGTCGCGGGGGGGCTTCCAAGCCACTCTGTTGATGCTGAGCCACAGCGTTAATGCCTCGCCGTCCTGAAGCTTTGCGTTGTTCTTGCTCGCTGCAGCATTGGACGCGCGTGCGGAACTACACTGTCAATGCCACGCTTCCCTGTGGCTTTGCTGCATTCCTGTTACAATCGGACCTAGGACAGAGGAACAACCTCCAAGAACATCAGACCCTCCGCCGGCCAAAATGAAGAGCATTCGACGGCATCCCCCCCCCCCCCAGGATGCACAGGAACATCCAACAAGCACGAAGAGCAGTAGGGCACCCTCCCCGAACCGACCTCGATCCCCTACCTCGCTCCGACCGTCCGAGCGCACACCGCCCGAGAGCTCCACACAACGCGACATGCTTTGGCGCCTGCCGCTGCCGCGGGCGAGGCCCCGCTGAGGCGGACGGCGGGCACGGCCCCGGACCTCCGACGATGCACGCGTCGCGTCAGGGCGGGCACTCTTCCCCGAGCTCGCCTCCTCGGGGCCCGGGGGCCCATCATCGGGTCCGGAGGCCACCGAAGGTTGCTCCGGCACGAGCACCTGCCCGCGGGGAAGGAGTCCGAGGACCTCTCTGGCGGCCAGCCCGGGGGGGAAGCCAGAGGGGGCCGGCCTTCCCGGGAGGCTCGGAAGTCCCTGGGCCTGCTGAGACGTTCTCTGAGCCTACCCAGAAGACACACAGAACTTCTCAGAAGGCGCGACGGCTTCGGAGAAGTCCCGCCGCCTTCTGACAGGGCCTTCTCCTTCTCACTTCCCCCCCTCGCTCGCGGCTCGGGTTCGGGGGAGTCGAGTTGGCCTGACGGGGCCGTCAGGAAAAGCTGGACCGCCGAATGTCAGAACCGGCCCGTCCAAAAACGCGACGGCAGACCCGAGTTCGGGCGAACTCGAGTCTCACGCTTCCCTGAGAAATTTGGCCACGCACTGAAAAACTGTTCTTTGAAGGGGCCCTGGGACACACAAATAAATACACACAAATGAAAATACTCCCCATATTTTCCCATCTGTTCTGGGTTTTTGTCTTCCCCCCCACTTCCCATATTTTCCAATGTTTTCCTGGGAATCGCCGATGAATTGTGTCTGTGTGTTTCTCTCCCTCCTGATTCTTGTCGGCAGCGCCGGCGGACGCGAGCGCGACAGCAGGGCCGGCGGGACGCGCCCGGGGGCTGGGCGCACTGGAGCGGGTGGAGAAGCAGAGGGCGGCCGCGGAGGCAGGGCGAGCGCGCGATGTCGGTCCAGCGGGACCGGCCCTACGAGGGCAGCGCGGGGGGGCCAGGGCCCTCAGAAGACGTGTTGCGAGCAGAAATCGGACAGATGGACGCCGGGGTCGGAAGCCTTGGAGCAGGAGTCGGAGAGATGGACGCCGGAGTCGGAAACCTTGGAGCAGGAGGAGGCCCGGCCGAAGAGGCTCAACGGACGGCAGGCGCGCGCACTGAAAGGCCCTCCTCCCGGCAGCGCGTCCTGCGGGCACGCGCCTCCTCCTCCTCCTCCTCCTCCTCCTCCTCCTTCTCCTCCTCCTCCTCCTCCTCCCGTGGGCGCTTCGGGGTGGCGGCGCACGGGGTTCGGGCGAGACATGGCGGCGGGTTCCAGAAACCCTCAACCAAAAAAACGTGTCATCTGTTGGGGGCGCATCTTTGACTTCCGCCGGCGGAGCCGCCACCGTTTTACATATTTCCGCCGCCGTCCACCGGACTTCCGCCGCCTTCCGTCGGGAAAGATGGCCCCTTCGATCCTCGAAGGCGAGGCCCTGTCTGGGACGCCTCAAATGGCCAGGGCGAGCAGGAGCAGCAGCCCGTGCACCACCACGCGCGTGCACGCATTGAGAGACCCCACGAATTCGAATCGACGCGAGAATTGAAATCGGGCCCATTACGATCGATGGCCGAAGTCTGTCAACAAGAAAAGAAGCTGGCTCGAAAGCGCTCGCAGTTCGGTTTCCTCGACTCGCATCGCGATTGGTCTCACTCAACTGACTCACACCCCCATAGGGGAGCAGAAAGGCACCGACACAGCCATTCCTGGGACCTCTGAGAGGGTGCAGTCTGGCAAGAATTGCGAGGCTGATCCAGCCCTGACGATAGGGGAGGGGAGCGATTTCGGCACCTGTTCCTCCTCTGACCCCCAGGCACGGCAGGGGGACAGAGTCCGCACGGGTCACCCTCCCGCCCCGCACGCATCGAAAGCCCCCCGCCGCCTTCCAGCCCCCCCCCCGAATGGAAGCAACGCTGGTCCGAACACCGTCCACAAAGCCGTGGAAGGGATGAGAGAACGTCGATTGCAAATGTCTGCCCTGACTCTTCCTGCGAGCGGGTGGTGCTCCCACGAAATCGCTGGACACACTCTGGGGCACGGCGGGGGACACCGCCCGCACGGGCCGCCCTCCCCACGCCCCGCGCAGGGCAGCCCCCCCCCCGCTCGACGGCTTTTCTGCGCAGCCAGGGCGGGGTGCCCCGGGGCCCACGTGCCCACGACCCCCGCCAAGCTCGAGGGCCTCCGATGGCCTCCGAGGGCCTTCGCTGGCCTCCGAGGGCCGCCGAGGGCCGCGGAAGACCCCGAGGCCTCCGAAGGCCGGAGGCGCCGCCGCGTCCACACGGGGCGCAGGCTCCCGCAGCCCGAAGCGGAAGGAGCTCGGCCGAGGCTGGGCAGCATCCGTGTGCCGTGCGCTCTGTCACGCCAGGCCCCCAGCGCTCTGGCTTGCGCAGTGCGAGGAGGAGGAGTTATATATAGCGAGCGATCATGATGATCAAGGACATGGGAAAAGGGCCAACCTCAATGGCAGCCTATGCCACCGAGGTTGGCGGGGGGACCAGAGGAGGCGGAGGAGGGCGCGCGGGCGGGGGGAGAGAGGCGGGGCGGCGCCTGCTGGCGGCCACGGCCGCGTGGAAGTCGGCCGCGACCGCGGCAGACCCGAACGGCGCCGCGCGCCGAGCACGCGGGGCCGCGCTCGCCGCTCTCTCTCTCTCTCTCTCTCTCTCTCTCTCCCTCCCCACCATTCGCGCAAGTCCTCTCCCTCCGCTCCTTCCCCCAAACCAAACTCCCATGGACCTTGCCCTGGGCGATCCTGGAAAGGTTTTGGGCCCCCGCCTTCTCGAGGCGGCCCGAGCAGACCTTACCCAGGTCCCTCAAGTGCTGGGTCGAATAAGACCCACAAGTCATACACCACAGCACATTCGCCACGGGCCAAAACGCCAAGGCATGGGAAGGGCCCACAAGCCGACTACGAACACACACAGCAGCCGTCGGTCGAAAGACCGCACCAGACCATTCCATAGGAGTACACTGCGAATTCAAAAACGATGTCAGGTCACGGGCGGTTGAAGAGCAACCGCACCTCTGGCACTGGGCGAAGTCCCCCCAAAGCATGGGGCAATTATGAGAGGACCTCACCGCCGCAGCGCGAAGGAGCTGGCGGGCCGTTCTCCGAGCCTTCTCCTTAGGGGGTCGGGGAGGGCGTCCGCCCTCACGCTCCAAAACATCTGACATCACGGCAAGCAAATGATTCTGTACCTTCCGAGCTAACCCATCAGCGAACCTGACGGGGGCCGAGACAGCATATGGGACCTGAACCTGCTGGGCGAAGTGGCTCGCAACCTCATCGGCTACCGCATTCGCCAGCACGACGCCAGGGTTTAATCCACGGCGCACGGCCTCCTCAACCTTGAGGTGACTCGGAATCTGAATGAGAACCACATCCCCAAGACGATCCAGAGCGCTCTGGACACGCCACCAGAGATCAACATGAGTCTGAATTCGCTGCAAAAGGCCAGCCTTGATGCGAGCAAATCCCCTCGCAACATAGGCCGAGTCCGCGACGTATCCAAGACACGCCTGGGGGTGAGCTCCTTCCAAAAACGCAAGAAGGGCCCAAAGCTCCCCACGATTCACAGACTGCTTACCAGGGATCCCGCCCCCTAAGAGAAACTGAATGTCGGCTTCCGACACCTGTGGGGGCAGGGTTAAAACATCATGGCCAAAAACCGCGACGCCCCATGACACCCGCCTGAGACGCTTATCCTTCGTAAACTCCCCACCACTCGCATCCCCCGCGCCCCAGATGCGAGTTCCCCCCCGAGGCCCAGGAAACACACCAGCGGCACAGAGGATGGGGTCGTCGGGAGGCGGAGGGACGGACGTCCACTCACGGGGCACGAGACCGCGAAGCCAGAAACATGGGAGTTCGGCAGCCACAGAGGCGGCCTTACGCGCGAACCCATCGTCCACTTCCTGAAATTCACTGTTGCACGGGCATCCCCAGAAACGATGGACGTCCGTTTCGGGGGCCGAGTTGCAACGGGGACAGGTGAGCTCACACTCTCCCCCAGAGGCCTGAATACGGCCCCTCGTCCAGACGGCCCCAGCAAGGACAGCCCTGAGCAAGCCAGCCTTCTGAGGCGACTTCCTACGCAAGGACGCAAGGTGCCGCCAAGCAACCTTGAGGTCGACGCCAGATGCAAGACCCCCTCCATTGCGGAACTCGGCGGCAGCAGACCATAAACGTGCCTCAATGCTACGGTCCACTTCCTTTTTAAAATCCGACGTCATATAAGCCTGGGAGCGAAGCTCATCGGGAACGGCGAAGACATCACCCCCAGGAGCAACCCAAGACCAAGGCCCATCGAGCTTCCATCCCAGAGCCGTCATGGTAGCGACCACAGCTGACACAGGTCCTTTTATATTGTGCCACCTGCGCTGGGGGCCCAAGCAATCGATCCTCTCGACCGTGGCAGCCCAACAAGCACGCATGCGGTCCACTCCTTTTTCAGGCAACGCAGCGACGACCTGAAACCAGGACTCCAAAAGCTGAAACACCGTGGTGAAGGCAGGGTCCTTTTTCTGAACTTCCAAGGCCAGCAGGGTCGTGAGACACCGCCCCGCCGAGCCTCGAATTAAGCTGCTGGCTAGGGCCCGTCGC